CTACATAAAATAATAAATCTTTGTGAGTCACATTAGCAAATCAGTTTTAATTTTACTTTATTAACCCAAGAAAAAGAATTTTATAAACAAGTCGTGATGGTATGATGAATTTTGTTTTTAATTTTTTTTACTTGCGCCATTCATGCTTGCAATTATGCAATGGCTGAATTTTTGACAATGGATCCCTTTTAAACCAGGGTTAAATAATAATTTAAATACAATTTTTTACCATTTAATATTTATTCAATAAAATTTTAGAGTAATTAAAATTATTATTTTATTTTAGCATAAATTTTTTAAATTAATGAATTCCTTTGAAAGGAGGCAAAGATAATGTGCAACTTTAAAAATATGGCGACCTTAACCAATGAATGACCTTTTCTAAACGGATGTCCAGCTTATTTAATCGCTGATTATTTTTTGTTCCCTTGAACTATCCGTGTAGGGCGGGCGTCAGTGATGAGAGAGAACGTCAAGGGATTGGTGAATCAATAAGTCAATTCTTGACAAATTTTAAAAACAACGTAAAAGAACGTAAATTTTTTTTATTAGTTGATAAAATAAGGGAGTACAAAAACTTTTGTTTGAAACTTTTCAATCCCCTTTGTTCTGTACTGAACTTTACAAAGACAAACCATTTACAAGTTTATGATAATTAATTAATATTCAATAAGAAAGTAAAGTTTCGGCTGATTGTGATCAAGTTTATCAAAGTTCTTCTCCCGGACGTTATTGCTTAATTTTGTAAACTTAATAATGACAGTATGGCTTACTCAATTTGTTTGTCATCAAGGCTAGTGTTTGTTTATAAATACTTCGACTATTTATGTTTTGACACGACTGAAATTTTTATTAAATTAACAAAAAAGTTTTGTAATAAAATAAAATAAAGTTTTTGACTCATATTTCAAATTGTAAACAAACCAGTTCCCGGTGACAAAGCATTTTTTCAATACTTTTTAAAAGGATAGTTCCTACTCACAGTAAGTTGTTTTGCAACGATTCGGATTTCGAGCCTTTTAGCTCATCATCAGGTTGTAGATGTCCTTCAACCTGATGATGAGCTAAAAGGCTCGAAATCCGGATCGTTGCAAAACAACTTACTGTGAGTAGGAACTATCCTTTTAAAAAGTATTGAACACCACACTCACTCCATCATTTATCATTTCTAAGCATTTTTTCTGTATCTTGACATTAAACAAATTTGAAACCAAATTCATTGTAGCTTGAAAACATCTAATTTCTGGAGGGCAGTGGCGGATCCAAGGTTAAAAGGGGAATACCGGAGCTAAGTAAAGATGTTATGTGTTATATGTAGTATGTCTTAGTTTATAGGCGATGAAAGTAAAATATTCAATCAAAATTTTTGCCATTTTTGCGTTTTCTCTCGCACAACAACCAGCTCGGTTTGTTTAACTTCACTCCCTCCTAGCTACGCCACTCATTATTGGATTTTCACAATTTTGGTACCGATTTTCAGCGGAATTCTTCCGGTAACTTTTAAGCGCAGGTTGGGTCAAATCCAAGCAGTATTTTAAATATTATCATAATTTGAAAAATCCCATTTTTAATCAGGATTTTTTCTCAAATACAACACTTTTAAATTTAATTTCTTTCGTTTAAAAGATCAAATTAATTTCTTTTTTATAATACAATGAAACCGAAGGCGTTTCTTAATTTTTGGTTACAAATATGCGAAGATTTCTTTTAAATTAACAAAGAAATCACGGTAAAAGGCAAAAGTCCTTAAAATTGGGTATATTGTTAATAAATATGGCGTGGCCTTCAACATATTTTTCCGTAAATCTCCCATTGTTAACTAAAAGTAATAGTGAAGTAATGCGAGAAAATAATTAATTTAATAGCTTAAATAAAATTTCAAATTAGGTAGTTATCTCGTAAACCATTATTTTATTTTCATTATTTTCAGTGGTGTAGGAAAAAATTGCCGGAATCTAATTTAATTTAGCGCCAGCTGTTAATAAGAAACAAAAATAATTGATTAATTTTTTATTCTATTGCAATATGTTTATGATGTTATGTTTTGTATAAAATAAATAACAATATGTACCCATGGTTTTCAAATTATTCTTTAATTTTTAAAGAACAAATTTTTAGCACCGCTGGATTGATTCAGCAAAAAAAAAAAATCTGCCTTACACTCCTTACTGCCGTGATGGCTTTTTTTGTTCATTTATGTTTTGGGCTAAAAATTTACATTGCAGACCATGATTTTTTTTATTAAACATATCCTTCTGGTGCTTTTCTGATTGTCTGCTGTAATGTTCTTATTCGATCTCTCGATGTGATAACCTGTAATTTGGTGATTAATTTTTTATATTCGTTAATGTTGATGACTAAAAACATTTACATTGCACACTATGACGGAAAAAACATTTGGGAAATATATGAAAAATATGTTCCTTATTGAAATTAAAGTATTGAAAATTTTAAATCAAGTTATTTTTTTCAGTTTTTCCCTTTGAAGGAGGAGAAAGTATTGCGTTGGGCCGAAAAACGATATGTAGTTTTCTCTCCCTTGGCACGTTTTTAGGTCTTTTGTGCCTTAAAAAACGGAAATTTGTTACACCCCCCTATCGACATCGATGACCAACCGCACCCGCCCTTGCTCGAGGGCGCTATCAGTATTTTTTAATTTAGACGTGTTTGATGCCGCAGTAGAAGAGATTTTTGACAGTTTGATGGAAAATCATATTAAAGTTGTTATATTGGGAAAAAAGTTTCAATTAACCCCGTATTGAAATTACTACTCAGTACGAAGTATGCTGAACCAATCAATCAGATTCAATCAGATGATTGTAAAACATCTGACAACTTATCATATTTGGCAAGACGAAAATGTAGACTGATGGAGAAATAGACAACGTGAATTATTGACTTTCGCCACTGTCCAGTCAGACGTGCTTAGAATTCAAAGCGCGCACCGTGAATACAATACTCATCAGTCAAATAACATAATTACATGGATTCTCCCGTTATAAATACGCACGTGCAAAACTTTATACTTTAATGAGGACATTAAGTTATTTATGTTTGTAGTTGGTGCTTATTAACACAACTGTATGTTGGTCAACCATTAGAATTGCTTAAGTAAAATACTGTTACTACAACGGTTGATTTTGTTCGTTGCAAGAACTAATTTATATAAGTAGATGTAAAACTACAATAAAATGTATTTGTAATTATAATTAGTTTCATCTTACAAGAGGCTAAGAACGTTGGGTCATCAATTGCAATAATTATTATATACCGATTTTTTTTGTACCTAGAATAAGAAAATAATGTGGAATCTAAATGATATTAAATAAAAAACAAAACAGGCTTCCAGTAAACTAGACCAAAAAAGATTTTTTTTGGAAAAAACCAATGAATCCGCTGTAGCACTCTTTAAAAACTTTAAATACAAATTTTGCTAGAAATGAATCAAAAAGACATTCACAAGGACAAAAGACATTCACAACCCTTGGAAAATCGAATTAACAATTTGTCAAAAATGTTTATATTTTAAGTTATTTCAAAACAAAAAATAATGTCGACATTAATATCTTTCAATTAATTAAGGTTTTTAGTTGAGATAAAAAAGTCAGTGTTACGAGCGGGATTCGACCCCACGACCTTCGGCTAGATACGCCGCTACTCTACACTTGAGCTATCGTGACTTCGATCCACTCGGACACTAACTTTTTTATCTCAACTAAAAACCTTAATTAATTGAAAGACTTGTCAAGCGGACCACGAAAACTAGTGAATTTAATAAGTTAAATGAAGTATATCTTCACTAAAGCTCTCCTTGGCCTTTCATTTGTCACCGAGAATCATATAGATCGCACGACATTTGAAAAATGGCAAAAAAGAGGAAAAATTTAAAAAGGTGGGGTTGAGATGGGAAGTTAGTGTCCGAGTGGATCGAAGTCACGATAGCTCAGGTGGTAGAGTAGCGGCGTATCTAGCCGAAGGTCGTGAGTTCGAATCCCGCTCGTGCCATTGACTTGATCTGAGCCATTTACATTGCTTGATCCATCAGTGAATACAAGTAAGGATTCTTCATTTCATTGAGAAAGTTGTATACTTTTGGGAGAGTAGAAGTTTTTGGAAGCCTGTTTAGGTCCAGTCTTACTTTAGGTGTGAGTAAATTCCAAGGCGGGGTTGAAATAGCTGATGGGTTGGTCTTTGGAAATGTTGGATAGGGTGTTTGATAAAGATTCGCAATTTATGCAATGCGGACAAGAAATGATTGTCTATTATTTGTCTCTTCTGTAGTCAAAAACTGGTCTTAAGAGAATATATCTTTTAACGGGTGAGATTTTTATTTAAAATAAATTTATTTACCAACAAGGTCAGCGTAATGTCTCCTTATCAGTGTCGGCTGATGGTATTCGGGTACAATGTACGCTTGATACGTTGTCAAATATGCTTCTTTCACCACTTCAGCGACGTATGGTGTACTTTTTATAATGTGAGTCGACTACTCACCTAACCTGAATTATTTTTATTAATTTGAGGTATGTGATTCGTTCGCAGTGAATTACAGATCTTGTTAATTGTGTTTGTATACCCAAGGGAAAGTGACGAATATGATAAATCCGCGTGTCAAATTATTGAAAATATTTTATTTTGCTTGAAGATAAGCGTATCTCCTAAAAAACCGCATAGAAATTGTTATACGTATTACAAAGTTAAGGGAAATTGTTATTTTCCTGTTACAATTAAATACGTGTAAGCACTTTGATCTGTTGGTTTTGTCAATTTGCTATCACTTGGAACGAAGGTGCTTTAAGAAAGAATGGTTAAGTCAAAATTGACTTAATTCACTGGCAAGAGAAGAATTTCTTGCTTCCTTTAATAAATGCAAACGCTACTTAGATTTCTTGCCAGTTAGAAGTTACATATTAGTTGATTAGCTTTTTCAAAATCAACAGTAAGGTTAAATTTAAGAATATATATACAAGTTAATAAAGTGGATGATTAATGCCAAACTAATTACGTGCATAATGTCATTTAATTTTTTATATTGTTTATGTTTATCCACCGCGTTGTCTATTCAGTTCAAAGTTTACTTATTAATTCCCTAAAACACACAGTCGTTACTTGTGCAACGCCTTTTGAAATCCGAAGAATGTCCTAAGTCCTGATGACACGGACTGAATTCTAATCGTAATACGGTTTGATATAAAAGCGTGGAGGATCGCCTCATGTCAACAGTCATTTCGAAGTTTTCGACACGGGCAACATGAAGTTCCAAGCAGTCCTTTTCGCCGCTTCTCTGGCTATCGCGAGTGGGGGAGTCGTCGTCCCTGCTTATTACTCGTCCGCTTATTACTCACCGTATGCTGCTGCACCGTTCGTAGCAGCTCCTGCTGCATACGTGGCCGCCCCGAATCCGGTCGTGGCACGCGCGTCAAGAGTTGTCGGAGTGCCCGGTTTCGCCGCCCGTTATACTTCCTACGTCGCCCCGAGCGTAGTCGCACAGTACCCTGCTGTAGTCGCCGAGCCGGCTCGGTTAGCCGTCGCACCTGTTGCTGCCGCCGCCCCGTTGCCCGGTCCTGCTAGGCTCGCGGCAGTCTCCCCAGTCGCCCCGCTGCCCAGTCCAGCGCGATTTACAGCAGTCGCACCGTTGCCCAGTCAACCGAGATTCGCAGCTGTTGCACCGGTTTCGGGCCCAGCGAGGGTAACCGCTGTCGCTTCAGCAGCTCCGGTCGGTTCTGCAGAAAACGCCAGAACCGCTCCAGCACGAGTCGTGGGCCAGACCGCAGCCAGGAACACCGTTGTGTAATCAATTATATTAATTGAAATACATTTCTAAACTTTGAATTATTTTTTCATTTTACTCAATTGCCCACCTTATTAACACATTTCTTTGAACCTATAAGAACTTCAAAATACTGACAATAATTTTTGTTCGTAATCATAATAATTTCTTTCTGTTATTTTTAAGATTTAAGATCTCCTTCTCAAACTTGACACTCAAAATTTGAATCCAGGTTAAAAATTAAATCGTATTTTTATGATAACTTAAAGAAATATTCTCTTCACTATTACGAAGTATTTTTTCTACATCCATTATTTGTTTCTACAACTGTATATCTATTGGTATACATTGTATCGTAGTACAGCTAATTGGATAATTTATGCAAATGTGGCATTAATGGCGTTATAGAGAAAGCTACCCATTGGCAGCCGCTCTGGATTAATAAAATGATAATAATCATTAAAGATGTCTCTTATCCATAACCTTTTCAGACGTTTACGTGGTAATTGTGGGAAATAGAGAAATCGTATTTGTGGGTTAGTGTGATTTTATAATTTACTATGTACTATATATTACTATATTAATTTAATAATATGCTTTGATGGGTGAAAAAACTGTTGGCATGTGAAGATCCCTTATGTGTGTTATTGATTACGTAAAAAGGGGCAGAAACAATTAGTCTTAAAATTTTGGTTTGAAAACTTTTTAATCTCTGAATATTGGAATATTTGGCAGATCCATAAGCTTGGCACCCGTACATCCGAATAGGTTTGTGTAGATATGTGTATGTCGAAAGTTTTGATTTTGATGGTAATTTTGATTGTCGGTTGAATAGGTAATAAAAATTTTAAATCGTTTGTTAAGTGTTTTTTTAATCGTGTGTGTGGATTTCAAGTTAGTCTTCTAAAAAATGTAAGTCCTAAATAGTTAACTTTGTCAGATGGAGGAACAGGTTCATTGTGAAGTATATGCTAGGACAAGTCTCACGACGTAGTGTAACAGTGATATGTTATGACTTTAAGGGGTTAAACTTTATTTTCGAAAAATTGCTCCATTTTTCAATTGCCATATATGTTGGTTTTGTCCAGGGCAATGTTGGGAATGAGTCGGTCGTCAAGGAAATTTGAGATCACTTGTAAAAAACTTAACTATGTCAATCTGTAGACATATTTAAGATTGCTTTGCTCTGATGATGACCTTAATACAGATCGAAATCTTGGCAGTAACAACTGAATTTGCTTTTTTCTTTAGGACCATACATTGGTACGGAGTGTTCTTGAGTGAAAATGTAGTCGATACTTCTAACATAAAAAACATCAAATTACTTATCACAAGGAGGCAAACAAATACAAAATATAAATTGTTTATTACAATATTTAAATTACTATTTTATCATACATGAGTATTAACGACAATTGCGTTACATTTCATCAATTGTTTTGTGGATAATTAAGTTGATTTACTATTTTAAAGTAATTAGGCTTGAGTTTTACTATTTTACTATTTGATTTTAAATTCATCTTCGGCCGTTTATGAATCGCAACGTGAAATGCTTGGTCTCAAATTACAAAAAGTCATTAGATTGTGACAAACTTTTTTTCAAACTTTTCCATCCTGTGCTTTTTTTAACGTCATAATTAATTTCCTCTTTCTAATTAAAACACTTCAGGGACTTTTAACACTTTTGTTTTCAACTTTTTATTATTATTATTATTCGGTATTGAAATGTTTGATTTTTTGCTAATTTTAAACTTACGTTGGGGTGAGCGGCCCCAGAAGGGGCCTCAACTTCTGGGGCCGCTCACCTCAACATAAGTTTAAAATTAGCAATTGATTTTTCAACGGCCGACTAAAATAAGGACATGTTTGATATTTGCTTTATTCAGACTATTTTTAATCTGAAGAATAGATTTTAGCAACAAAAGAAATTTACAATCATTTACTTCATGCAGTTTTTCCTTTATTTTCCAGATTCATTATAAAATCCGGCCAAAATAATTTTGGCATCCATTGAAAAGTCCAAAAATAATGAAATGTTGTTGGTTAAAGATTGCGCTTTACAGTCTGATAGCACATACTAACTCGAGAACTGCGTATAATTTATTTTATTAATTATTTGAAACTGTAAATTAGATGGTTTTTGAACTCCCTATGAAATTTTTTTATAAACTTGAGACACTACAGATAAGCGGACCTACTTTCGTGTTTTTGCAAATAGAACTATGAATTAAACATGGCCAAACTGCCAACAGAAGTGTTCACAAATGATTAAAATTATGAAGGAAGTTTCGTAAAAATGGATAGGGGTTTAGCTGAAAATATTGTTTGATAAAACTAAATTTAAGCTTTTATTATCGTAAAATGTTGTTTGTTCAAAAATCGTTGGATTTTACTTTAATAGTTTTTGAAGTGTAGAAAGGAGAGAAGAAACTTGATAAATGATGCGTTCTAAAAATGAACGTCAATGGATTTCCGTCGTTTTCCTCTGACTGGTGTGTTCATCGGTGCCGTTACAACTGAACTTATTTGGCACAATATTGCCCGATTTGTGGTACAAAGGTTTAATTCAAGGAGGAGACTTACGGTTGCAAATCGTTGACCTAGGCAAAAATGATGTTTCCTTTTTCTCTTCATTAATCCTATGTTGACAGATTGCATTAGCCTTTTAGCAAGGCCCTTTTCGGTGACCGGTCTCTCCAGAAGGAGATTAGAGAGTGAGTATTCTTGCAACTCCTGAATCCCATAATCCCAGGATTATTCTACTAAAGATGTATAAGGGAACAAATTGACTGCTGCATATTGCATGCATGCACCATTTTTAGGTTTTAAACGATAGCTTTATCGAGAAATGGTTGGTACAATTTCAATGCAAATCACATATTTTTGTCTGTCTTGTTGTTGTTAAAGGTTGTAAAAGCCAAGGGGGCATCGTCTATAAATTCACCAGATTGCTTTTACAGCCCGCTCATTAAGAAGCCATACTTTTTACGCAAGCTTAGGTCAGAGGTGAACAAGTCGATAATTTTGAATGATGTGGCTTTGATAATGGCTGGTATTGAGCGGTTTGTAGTTGCGATAACTTTATTTTTAATATTCAAATTTATGATGGATTTTGAAGAGAGGTACCGGTATCGTTCCTTTGACTCTATTTAGGAAAATTGTGTACTTGCCTCGTTTTAAACCTGAAAATGAAAGGTGCAATAACTAAATAACACCTCCAGTATTAGTGACAACTAATTATTATTATAAATATAGTTGTACATATCACAAAATGGTACTCTTCAATATGTAGACCTTTGTTTTGGACTATTTCCACCTGTCTTTCTGCCAGTGACTGGATCTGATGCCGGTACCTTTTGTTTTTAGGGAAAAAATCATCGCATCCCACTTTCACGTCCTCGCTGTTATGGAAGTACCCACACGTTAAAAAAAGAGCCATCAACCGAAACAGACTGTAAAGGTTAAAGGTTAAAAAGCAATAGATCTCTTTTCGACCTACGCATTGCAACAAAATATCTTCTTATTTTGCAATTTCTATTATTGTCCAGAGGCTTTTTACCAGATTCCAAAGTTTTGATAAAGTATGTTTTTCAGGGCTGGGCTTTCCTTTCCTAGATGTAGGAATCTCAGCTTATATAAGTATTTGCACCAACTGAGGACAGGTTACGTTGTTTCTTCATCTCCCTGGCAATATCTGCTCAGGCTGGCCTTTCTGCCACAGGTCCTATGCATATGCCTCTGGAGTCTGCAGTCCACCAATCATTCGGGTCCTAACACGTTCAAGATTTAGTTTATGGGAAAGTTCCTTTGTTGAACTTTTTGCATTGCTCTTTCCTGGAACATACTCCCATTTGCCCGAGGATTTATTCTTAGTTTATTACCAGATGGATTTGGCCAGTATCCCTCAAAATGGTTCAGGGCCAAAGGCCCCTCTGCCCTTGTGCCTTGGTATCCAGACAAGGGTTATTTTTTATTATCCCTAATATTTGAGAGGGTCCGATGCAGTCTCAAACCTGGTCTTTTGTACTGACGAGGCAGTTGCCCTAAGTGCCACCTGACTGTCCGAGAAGATGGGTTTTCTGTTATTAATATCTAACCTTTTAATCTCTTTAGCACAGTGTTCACAGCAACTGTCACCGCTTGAAAGATTGTGGGATGAGGTCCAATCTCAAGGATATAAACAGAGTGAGGTAAATCCACACTCCTTGCAAGATTTTGGCAGAGTCAAACGCGGACGATGGGAAGGGGGCTTGTTGACCAAAGCAGGGCACTTGGTTAGTACAACTGGCCAAACTCTGTTTAGCTGTTAGTATTGCATACGTTAGAGTCAATTGATTAAAATGCAAAACGCACTGTAAGTTCCACTAATCACAAATCTTAACTTTTTGCCAAAATGATCTTCGTGAGCCTCCTGTTGTGCTGTTCATCTGGCCTTAATTACTTCCTAGGTATGCTAGGACTTTTTAAAGATATACATTATTTGTCAGTCGTACATATTCATTTTCACAACGTTAGCACTTTTAAGGTCACATCTTGCTACCCAGTCATTCAGGAGGTTCATTTTTCATCATAGATTACCATCTACAACCGATGTGTGACCTCATCAGGGGTCATAGTCAAGGTCATAATCACACTGTTGAAAGTATTTTGATAGATAACTGATTCCCCTTTTATTGGTACAAAGTTCATCAGCGGCCGCCTTTAAGTCTTGTTTTCCTTCTTCAATATAATTTTTTTTTCTTGTATCCATTCTTTTTTTACAAGTCATCAGGACAACTTGCATTGCCGTTGCGTCTTGAAAATGCAAATTACCTCTCAAATCCACTAGATAAATGGTAAAAACGAATACATAGACCCACTGAAGATGGAGAAACGCCGACACTAGTTTTACATAGATTAGCTTAGCGAGGATAAGCAGATAATCTTCTAAGATCAAATTACATTTTAAAATCCATTGTAATAACGTTAAATATAAGAGTAGAAAGTAAGATAATGCATTTGTGAAAGTTTAGAGGAAATTGTTATATTAGAGACACCTAACGAA